TTTTCTTTCCCCCCGGCCCGGGGATGAGGCCTGACTCGTGGGGGGGTTCTAAAGTTGGGAGGCTTCTCCTCGGTGATGGAATCCACCCTGAGGGGAGGGCTTAACCGGCTTTGGAGCAGGGTGCCAAGGTGGAAGCTGTGGTTGGTTCAGAGGCAGTTGGGGGAACTATTGTTGATAGTGATACTGAGAGATGTGGTGCAGTACTTGGTGCTGCTGGAGCTGATGCTGTTGGGACTGTTGCATTTGGGCTTGCATTGCCCACATGCACTACATCAAGTCATCAAACTGGTTCTAGCTAGTCGCTAGGGGAACAACAGTTGGTTCGGTAAAGGTTGTCTCGACAGGGAGAGGAGGGAGGGGGACGTTCATGACGGGAAGGTTCACGGGCGCCACTATTCGTGGTGTACTCAAGCTGGGGATCCCATCCACCGGAAGGGGGATGGTGAACTGTCCGATGCACACCACGGGGACTTGAAGTTGTTCCCTGGTGGCGTTCATCTCCGTGCCATGTCCGACATTGCTGGAAGAAGCCATGAGTGTTGGGGTTTTTTGGAAAAAAGGGGTTATGAGAGTTTTAGAGGGAGGCTTTTAGCAGCGTTTCTCACAGACGACGCCAATTGATGGTGTGCAATCCGACCGGTCCTAGCTGTCAACGATCTTGCCTCGGGCTGTAGCAAAAGGTGCCTGAAACAGAGGAGAAAGCGAGAAATCTTCGAGGAAGAACCCGATGAGAGTGCTCCGAAGCTCAAGTTAGTATTTCCTCAATGGCAAGATAAAAAACCAGATGGCGCAAAGTTATCACATACCTCCTTCTTGGGGGGGAAGGGAGCCTTTTATAACCACTTCGCGCATTCACTCCCAAGCTCCTGTCAGGTCGGGTATCATTACCTCTGCACTTCTGCCAGTTCAGGTGTCATCACCTCTACTGGGGCAGACAACCGCCACTGCTCTCTTTATCGGAGCTGTCTCTGTGACTGGAGGTGGCGGTGGCCATTGAAGTGCGGCTGTTCAGTGTCAAATTTTAAGTCAGTCAGGTGCGCCGCCTCAGGATACGGACTCCTTTGGTGTTAGGTCAGGTACGGTTGTTCAGTTTGGTGTCCTGGAGGCGAAGTGCTAGAGTGGTGTGCAAGGTGAAGTCTTGAGTTCGGATAGAGGTGTGGCCCGAACTGCCCTGGGGCGGGTCAGTTCGGGTTATTGCCCTTTGTGCTCCTCGTAAAGCCCGGGGTCAAAGGGAGAGTTCAGGCTCCTTGTGGGGAGCTTAGACCGCTGGTTCCTCCTTTTAGAGCTCGCGCCTTGGGCGTACTATTGTGCCGAGCTGTTGCCTCTGCCACGTGTTGAGTGGTTACGAGGTCGGGCCAAATCTTCCTTCATCACCCCCATGTACTAGAGTTAGGCTTTAGTCAGGGCAAAGCCCATTCGAGCATCCTTTACTGCCTTGCATTGAGAATACCTCCATACTTATGTGCTTTATTTCATGGGGAGAGGTTTGCCCTGATGAAAGCCGATATCCATGTATTATGGGATCAGTGACAATTACACCTTAAACTTTCACTTTTTGACAATACCCCATCTGTTAAGTTAGATGACAAAGTGCATCAAATTACCAAAATATTCACATGATTTTTTTTATTTTCTTTTTCTTACCCTTTTTTCTTAAACCCTAATTGACCCAAAAATACTTTCATTTTCTCCCAAACAAAATTAGCTAGAATAACAAGAATCATTTCAATGATAGAGAAAAACAATGTTTTAAATTCTTATTTCATTTCACTGATATGAATGTCTCTTCATCTTAAAATATAAAAAAATATGTACTCCTTTCTCCAATAAATAAAAAAAAAGAACAAATGAAACCTTAACTTTATACCTATTAAAAAGCAATCTCTACCATTTTATTTGAATGTTGAGTCTAGCTAGAAATTTGAAGGATCCATTTGAACAATTGAGAGGATTTCAATATTATATATAGAAAGTTAATCAAATTATAAAGCATTCAAATAAATAAGAAAATAATAGTTTGGGGATTGAAAAAAATTTAAACAGCTGAATGAGATTTTTTTTTTCTAGAATTTAATTGATGAAATGAAACTTTAACGAAAGTGGTATTTGTTGCAAAGTAAAAAATCAGGAGATCTTTATCGTAAATGAAAGATTAAGAGGTAATTGTCATCGAGTATGGGGGTGTTTGTAATTTGGTCTAAATCATACGGGTCAGACCCGATACTGATTTTGTGGACGTTTTTTTCAATTGCCCCTTGGTTCTTCTGTGTGAGGACTGAGGACTGAGTAAGGTAGGAAAAAGAAAGTGGGTTTTTATTTCCTCCAGTCGTTTAGTGTGGTGTGGGGTGGGGTGGTGAGCTCCTCCTTCGCACTCTCAACCATCAGTGCCACATCATCGGATAGTATTCCATCCCAGCCAGTGGGATGAAGCCGCAGAAGATAACCCTCTCACTCTCGCCCTCCTGTTGTCAATCCGTTATCCAATCACTCACCCATCAATTCTATAACCACACAAACTCAAGCCCTCATCTCATCCTTACATTCACTCTATTAAAATCTTCCTCTCCTTATCTTATACTTTGATTTCCTTCCCCACCCACAGGCCACAGCCAAGAGCGTTACGCCCCAGAAGAAAACAATGGCTACTGTCACCTCTGCTGCCGTCGCCATCCCCTCATTCACCGGCCTAAAGGCCGGCGCCACCGCCAAGATCTGCGGTGCCTCCAAGGTGGCTGCTTCTCCTGCCCCCATGGTCGGTGTTAAGGCTTCGCTAAAAGAGGTTGGAGTGGCTGTCGTCGCCACCGCTGCCAGCGCAGTGCTTGCCAGCAACGCCATGGCCATCGAGGTCCTTCTGGGCAGCGACGATGGAGGATTGGCGTTCGTGCCCAGCAACTTCAGTGTAAGCGTTGGGGAAAAGATCGTCTTCAAAAACAATGCTGGGTTCCCCCACAATGTGGTGTTCGACGAGGACGAAATTCCTTCCGGCGTCGACGCCGGTGCCATCTCCATGTCCGAGGATAACCTTCTCAATGGCCCCGGCGAGACCTACTCCGTGACGTTGAGAGAGAAAGGTACCTACACTTTCTACTGTGCTCCTCACCAGGGAGCTGGCATGGTTGGCAAAGTGACTGTTAACTAAGTCATCATGGATGCCTTTTGTAAGGATGTCTAGCTCTCATTTTTTTTTTCTTTTCTTTTTACTACTACTACTCAATTAAGGATTAAGGTCGGTCATGGGCTTTGTTGTTTTCTCGTTTCTATTTCTTTTCGGATAGTAGAATTCTGAGGGCTGAGGGAGAGAATGGATGAATGAATATGAAATGATGAATCAAAGTTCAAAGCACCTTCTACCTGTAATTTCATTTTCTCCATCTAAACTTGTAGATTTCGTGTTGTTCTTATATCAAGCCTTTATGTATATCTAATACTACTACTCCTGTTTGCAAATTCCATGTCCTTTTGCTTTGAATGAAAAAAAAAAAAAGAAAAATTTCAACTTCCTTTCCATTTACAGTTTGTGGGGTGGGGTGGGGTGGGGTGGGGGTGCTAGGACTTTGGAAGAATTTGTTAGGCTCTGTTTGGATAATTTTTTTGTTTTTCAGCTTTGGACTGTCAAGTGGGCATACCCCCTTGTTCTTTTTTTTTTCTATTTTAGGTAATTTGCTGAAACCTCCCCTGAAGTTTAAGTTTAGTAATTGCAATCACCTCCCCTGAACTTTCGAATACAGTTTCAAGTAGACCCTCTCTGGTAGAATCTTATAAAAAAAAGGCATGAAAAAGTCTAAAATACCCGTGCAGAGTTACTATTAAGGCTGGTTCCTAAAAAAAATACAAACTTTATGAACAAGAAAAATAAAGAGAATTTATGGCAGCTTTGGTGATTGATATGGAAGGAAAATTTGGAGAATAAATCAATTTCAAAAAAGAGATTCTAAAATACCCGTGCAGAGTTACTATTAAGGCTGGTTCCTAAAAAAATACAAACTTTATGAACAAGAAAAATAAAGAGAATTTATGGCAGCTTTGGTGATTGATATGGAAGGAAAATTTGGAGAATAAATCAATTTCAAAAAAGAGATTGTAAGGGTTTGAGGCAATGATTCATATGAAGAGAAGATTAGAAAAATAAACATTTTTGTTAAAAGTAATTGCATGGGCATTTTGGACATTTTCATGCCTTTTTTTTAAGAAAATTAATTCTACCAAAGAGGTCTACTTGCAACTATGTCAAAAAGTTCAGGAGAGGTGATTGCAATTACCAAACTTTAGGGAAGGTTTCAACAACAACCAAAAACTTTAGGGGAGGTTTCAACAATTAACCTTTATTTTATTTTTAATAAAGAATGCATTTTGAGTATGCTTGGGGTGGATTGGGCCATTCTAAAGCTACATGAAGCCTTTGCCTCAAGCCAAACATGAATTTAGGTTAAACTGGAAATTTCAGGAGTAAGCCCAGACTAGAACACAAGAATCCAAAATCCAACCTGTTTCAATATGTGGGCTGAGCTTAGGGGTGTCAGCAGTATTCGAAAATTCGATTTCGAATTCGAGATTCGACATAATTGAATCGAATTCGAATATCTAACTGGTTGAATTTAGTTAACCTATTCATACCAAATAGCTAATTGGATTCGAATTCGGATATGACCTTATTCGATTCGACAAATATCCGAATTCAATCAATTATTTAATTCTTATATATAATATATATAAATTTTAAATGTTTTATATAATTTATATGTAATAATTATATTATATAAATAATTTATATATTTATATACTTTATATAAATAAAATATTTATTTTATATATTTATTAATTACCTAAAATAATTAATTAGTCAAATTCAAATCAAACCAAATATTCGAATATTTAATCGGATTCAAATTTGATTATTAATTTTCAAATCGAATATCGAATCAAATTCGAATATCAGATTTTTTTTAATTGGATTCAAATTCGAATATTGCCTGATCAGATCCGAATTCAATCCGTTTACACCCTAGCGGAGCTCACCCATATTACAGCCTCTTAAAAACGACCATGTATTTATTTCTATCATCATGTTCATGAATGGAGTTTGTTCACTTATTTAATCATGAGCCAAATTCTAAGTCTTCGCTTCAACACCAAAAAAGGCAAATGCTATTGGTAAATTTTATCTTAAATTCAGTATTAGGTTGTCCACTTGTGACTTAAGCCCCCCATAAATTCTGAGGCAGAGGTTTAGCTTTACGGTGACTTCACCGTAGAATCATGCAAGAAAACGATCAATACTTCAATAGAACAGAGTCTGACATTTAAGTAAGGGGCTGTTTGATTAGTGTTTCTAAGCAGATCTTTCAATAGCCCCATTGACAATAAGACCACTGTACTTTTGGGGTTTTGTTTTTAAAGACCAAAACCGTTTGGTTCGCATTCTGGCCTATCGGGCAGTTATAAACAGTTTTTTTTCGGTATTTAACACAATACATTAATAACTCACAGAGATAATTGGTAATAGCAGGATTCCAATCCACATATCTTCGAATCTTTCGATCTATGCAATATCGAATGAAAAAATCCATTTCTTGAAATGATCTTTTGAAATTCCCATAGAGTGAAAGATGCATAAAAAAGATGCCCCAAACAGTACCTAAAATTTCGTTGTCTATTATCAAGGGAGAACAATAAAAGAAAGTAAGGTCACTAACTTTTCTCCACACTCTTCATGTTTGACATTGTCGACCACGAATTAACCAAGCGCTAACTGCCATCATCCGATCAGAACAGATTAGACAGAGGAAAGGGAGATGTGGCTACAGCAGATAACCAGTCATTATCATTCCTGCACTCAATCCTCTTCTAAAGCAAGTCAAAAACACCACACGCAACACCCATCAAAGCATAATCACACGCAACCAAGAACTCAGCGTACACAATTAATGAAGACCCTATCTATATATATTCCCACTTAGCTTTCCCAATTTCCTTCATCCCCGAAACATAAAACGTTATTACAATTTACAAACCATAAGCCAAAATGGCTGGTCTCAGCTGTGCTGCCGTAGCTCTGCCCTCATTCACAGGGCTGAGGGCCAATGCAACTCCTAAAACCGGTGGCGCTGCGAAGGTGGCCGTCTCGCCCACCCCTGTGGCTGTGGTCGGTGCCAGGGCTTCGCTAAAGAAGGTTGGAGCGGCGGTTGTTGCCACCACTCTTGGCACAATCCTTGCTACCAACGCCTTGGCGACCGACGTCCTACTTGGCGGGTCGTCGGGTTCGATGCCCAGCAACTTCGCCGCGAGCCCCAGAGAGATGGTGTTCGACAAAGATGCAGGGGTGTCTCATAATGTGGTGTTCGAGGACAGTCTCCTCCATAAGGAAGGTAACTACGCTGTCAACTCTGCCTCTTTTGATCATCACAAATTATAGTGTTAGAGCGAGGGCCGAAAAAAAATTGGCTATCATTGTTCGTCAGCCTCTGCTGTCTACAAGATTACAAGTACAAGGCTCTCCTTGCCTGACAGCCTTTTTTACTGTGTATCAGTAAAGTGGCATGATTGAATGAACACACACACGTTCACGAGAAGAGAGCCCTATAAGCAGTAGAGGCTGTGAAAAGAATTGGCTGAGGTGCTCGCTCTTGTTATCATAATTGTTGCTCCTTTTGAACTCAAGGTGTTTGTGATTTTGCTCCAACCATTTTGCTTCATTTCTTGGACATGTGAGGAGTCTCTTTGCATTAAGCCCATCAATATCTTCTTTCTAGTGGGATCTTTGTAGTGCATAGGCCATATGTTTCCAGAATTTACAGATACAACCCAAAATGATTAATCCCCACATTATCCTATCCCCATTAAGATTCAACTTAAAGTACACTAATTGATTATAAAAGAAACCCTGGGGGCTCTGCTCCTGCAAAAGCAGGGCCATTCTCTAGTAAGCTGCTGTATGCGGTGTTAAGCTACTTGTTCATTCCCTAGTGCATTGATGTAGTCAAGGATTAAAATTTGGTAACATATTAGGGTGTTTCGAGGTTTGACCTGTTTGCAGGCAAAGATCAAAATTTTGATACGATACATTCCATATTGGGCGTATCAATATCGTATCTTTTGAGCAGGTGTTTGGAGAATCCTCTCTTGGGTAGATGTTTTTAGTACCGATAGACCTCTGTATATTGATACTTTGAACCTTAGTTTCAGGGGTAAATGGGCTTAAACTGATCCTCTTCAAGCTTCAACCAGTTTGAAAAAACTGACAAAAAGTAAAAGGTGGTTAAAGATACCTCCCCATCGGCCTGAATCCATACTCAAAACCTTGGATGTTGTATAGTTGAACAGAGAACAAAATCAGAACACCATGCATTCTTATTTTTTTAATTTTGCATTCTAAATCTGTTCCACTAGAGGGATACTAAAAGGTACAACGCCATATTGCAAAAATGCAGAATCAGGTCGTCCGCGTGGGAGGCCATACAACATGATTTTCCATCCACCAACTGGTCTCTGTGTCCTGAGAAAGTCTCTGACGGAGCCACTACAGCTAGGTTCTTGTGCTGAATCGGAACCCTGGAAGTATTCACCACAACAGATTTTGTTTCTCAAGGGAACATACTTTTGCATGCAAGCTGATGGATTGGGCAAACCAGCCAAACTTGGAATCATGTGCACTGATCCTGGTTCGAATTGGGATGTGATATCAGACGGTAATATGCATCTTTCATCGAATCTCGTCGACGGTACGGCTGTGTGCTTGGATGTTGACTCTAACAACAACATTGTCACCAATTCATGCAAATACTCGAGCGAGGATCATACTCCTGATTCCGCAAGCCAGTGGTTTGAAATTGTTAGAAACTCGAAAACTCAACTCCCTCTACCAGTGAGAAATTCTCCATTGAATCCACTTCATCCGGAAGAGCAAATTCAATCGGAGAGAGATGTTCGGCATGGGGAAGAAGGGTTAAGCAACCAGTAATTACGTCTCTGATTCGTTATGTTAGAGTGCCTTCCCTTGTAGGTTTGCACAATTATGTTACGTAAGGAGAATAAACAATATATATATATATATATGTTAGCTTTCTTGTACATGTAAAAGCTCTGATGTCTGCTTGTACATAATCTGATGTCAATTACTGTTTTTTATTTCATTTTATTTTCCATAATAGGAAAATTAATGTAATCTCCTTTTGTGTCCTCCATTCAGACACCCTCTTTCTCTCTCTTTCTCTCTTAATTGATAACGAATAATTAGATTTTTTCCATTAATATGTGGATGTATGAAAAAATGACAATTATAGCGGTGTTTGGTGGTCTTTGGTGTGTCTTCTGGCTTGTGGGAGGTTCAAAAGACCAAAAAATGGTCTTTTCCCATTTGATATCGTGTAGACCGAAGGGTCCTAAGATCAACACACAGAAAGATCAAAAAATCCAACTTAGGAAGCTTCGAATGGTTAAATTGGGCCGTGCCCTCCGTGGCCCGTGCGGGGCATGGCATGATCATACGGATTGTGCTGGGCCTAGGGTTTCAGGTCCATGGGCCAGCACGACACAACACAACTGTGTGCTGTGCTGACTGTGACCTGCCTGCCAACACAGCCCAGTACATGGCACGGTTCAACCCGGCCCATATATATATTACATGATAATATAAAATATATAACATATTAATACAAGGTTTTAAAAACCGATCCGGAAATGGAATCATTCTAGCTACCGGTTTCCGGATCAACGATTCAACTGTATGGGTCAAACGGTTCGGACGGTTTGTATATTAGGGTTAGGGCAAATATTTTATATGAGATTTGGAAAAGGAGAACCGGAGTGGAGAAGTCAGCTGAGAAAGAAAAAAAAAGGAAGAAGAAAAGAAAGAAAGAGAAAGGAAAAAAAGAAAAGAAGAGAAAGGAAAGGAAGGATGGAAGAAGAAAAAAGAGGAGGATGGTTCGACGTCATCGGCGACAATAATGGCGACGGCGAAGCGGCAGCAACACACAGATCTGAGATCTGAGTTCTCGGATCTCAAATCCGAGATTCTCTACAACCTCTTCTTCTTCTTCTTCTTCCATAGATATGACACACGAACTCAGATCTGAGCATGTGTTTCTCTACATCTTTATACAATGAACCACTGTCTGGGTCAAACGAGAAGATGGTTCGACCACCCAGGTCAGTGGTTTTCTGACAAAGTCAACGGTTTTTTACCCAGGAACGGGTTAGGGTTGAAATGGAACCAGTTGCTTAGACGGTTTCCAGGCCAAACGGTCCGACCGTCCGTGTCAGCGACAGTTCAAAAACATTGTATTAATATATATAAATTTTCCAATTTTATTATTGCATATATAAACAATTGTATACATCAAAATTCATATTAAATAAAAATTTAAGACTTTTTTTAATTTTTTGTCTATATTATTAATTTACTTTAATTTATTATTATTTTTTTCAAATTTTTAAGAAAATATAACTCTCATGGCTTGATCAGTCCGCATCTTGGCCTAGACTAAGGCTTGGCCCGCAGACCAACCTGACCAGTAGCACGCCATGGCCATGGGCCATGCTGTGCCGGCCCAATTTACACCTCTAAAAATAGCCTTCCTAGCTGTTTTTAATAGTATAGTAACCACAACACGAATCAAACAGTATTGGTCTTTAAAAGATAAGACCCCAAAAGCATAGTATGTCTAGGGATGCAAATCGATTGAGTCATGATCTGATCCGAGATTCAATCCTATTTGGTCAAATTCAGATCTTTGAATCGGATCAGATTGGATTAAGATCACCCCTTATCCAATTCGAGAAGATCAGATCCAATATATGTCATATATATTTATAAATATAAATATATGTTATTTATTTATTTATAAATATACTATTTATATTGTATTTTTATAAATTTGTTATATTATTTATTTTTTATAAAAACATGTACAAGTCAGATCAGTGATTAAATCAAATCCAAAAATCCAACTTACTGATATGATTTGAATTCAAATCGAGGCCTATCAAATCTGATCAGATCTTCGGGTTGGATCCAATCCGATATGAACAGTGTCAAATCAGATTCGAATATACCCTGATTTGAATCCGAGCTGATCCATTTGCATCCCTAAGTACGTCTTCGCGTCTACTAGGCTGTTAGGAGGATCTACCTACAAAGACTTGCCATACAGCCCCGAATTGGGCTCTTGGTTCTATCTTTAGATCTTATGGATTCATGGCCTCCGAGGACACAATGGAAACCAGTGGAGCAACAGAATCAAAGGTTGATCCTGTAATTCCTCATTTCCTCTTAAAAACAGAACTATACGAGACAAGCCCGAAACTTTCAAGAACAGCTTCTTTGCCTCTCTCTGTTTATTAATTCCTGAAATTTAGAATTCTTGGTGCTCTTGATTAGTCATATTACAAATTACAGAGGAAGGTAATAAAAGAAAGATAGAAGTTAACTTATTCTTCTGTACAAGTACAAAAGTATGACTACAAGATGGCACATCGGTCTTAACTCTCGTCTCTCTGTGACGAGTTACTGACTTTAGAAGTCCCTTCCCTTCATCAAGGAGGGAATGGCTGGAGCTATGTGGTTAGAGCATCCGGAAGAGATGTGTAGCTACCGAGTACCTTGCCACCAACATCTGGGAAATTTTCATGTCCAGGCAAAGGGCTTACCTTCCCATCAGCTTCCACCAGGATCGGATACTTGAGAAGGTGGCCACACAATGGTGTCACCTCCTCAGCTGTGAACTTCTTCCAGTTATCCTCAGCTATACCATTCACTGTCCTTACACATTCCAATCTCTGAGGCTCCAAGAAGCTTTCATTGACCACACCAAGGTGCTCTGCCCACAAGGACATCCTATATCCATATACCTGCACACATAACCTACATAGTTTGATCTTTTTGCTTGGATTACCACAACTTTGGCAACAAAACTACAAGAAAACAAAACTGCTGGCTGCAGTTCCATTGATCCCTAACCAACAACCCATGCATGTGACCTAGATTGTTAACCTGAACTGCTTTGCTTTGACTGGCTGGGCAACATCTTAGATTCCCTAGAAAGTGAAATATGCTTAACTGAAAACCATGTATAAACATTACTAACCTGGCCATGTGGGTGTTTCTTCTTCACAGCCCATGTGTGATGGGGCTGATATGCACCCATAGCTATCTCAGTGTCCCTTGCACCAGACATAGATCGTTCGTTGATATTGGCTGACCCTAAAATGACATATTCGTCATCTACTATCATTCCCTTGGCATGTACATAAATCATAAATCGCCTGTTTTTTTGGGCAGCTGATGCCTGAAAGAATAGTTTTGGATTTAACCAAGTCAAATTTGTTGCTAGTGTAAATAACAAAGTCATGCTTATATCATTCTAGCAACTCATCCACTTTGGCATTAATATTCAGAAAAACAAAAAGAAAGTAATTAGGATGGCACATTTAATGGATAGCAAGATAACATTTTGTTTTCTTTTATTTGATAACAGTTAAGTAATACTGATTTTGAGAATTCACACAAACCTAGGGCAGCTAAGTAGTTTATATCAAGGTCAAGGGCAATATCCTGACGCTCTATGTTAAAATGGATTCAGGTGTTGTCATGTGGGTGTGGGTGCAGGTATGCATCTGGGAGTTGCATTCATCTCACTGTCAATGTGTTAGGATAATGGAACTTTGCTAATATGTATGCCAACTAGGACATGGTAGACTGAACATGAGATATATATTTTCCAACTAAGCAAACAATTATAAAGACCTTGCAGCAAAAGATGACAATTAAAGAACTTTAACATGCAACAAAAGAAGCATTGACAAAGGATGCAATAAAGAACTTTAAAAATGACAAAGAATAAATAAGAGGACAATAGGATGTATCTGGTCCTGTGTTGTATAACAAAATGCAGATTTAATCCCTTATGGTGAAGGGTTGGGGTTGAAGATGGAGACATGCTGAAGACGTGCAGGAGAATTTTTTTCCCTTATGTTTCCAAATTTCTACTCCATGAAATGCAGATTGAATCCTGTAGCTAGTCACATGGTGAAGGGCTGAGGTTGAAGAAGAAGACATACTGAAGACGTGCAAGAGAATCTTTTCCCTTTTGGTAAAGACAAGTCAAATATCTTTATAGTAGCAACAAGAAAAAGTCAAATGTCTTTATAAAGAATTCTTTTAAGGAATATTAGCTATTAGAAAGTGGAGACCATGTTACAGCTTATTTTAGGACGTTTTATTTCTAATTTAAATAAATAATTCATTTTGGTAGCTTAGGCCTATAGCTTTTTGTTAGGATCTAGCATGCAAAAATAGTTTTTTTCCCGTTTCACACATATGGCCAAAAGAAATTGGGTTTGACATTTTTACATGGAAGGACATGTCAGGATGAGTGAATACGAATTACTAAGTAGTAGCATACTAAAACTAAGATGCATCACCAAAGATCAGACGATAGGTGTGATATTGCAACTAAGTGGATAATTGGAATTTGCAGGCATGTAGCATTGTCTTGTCGTATAATTACCGCACCACCATTAGTGGATGAACTAATTGATTCAGGTATGTCCTTAGGTATTTGTTCCCTATTACCCAGACAATAGAAATTCAGGTAGTCTTGAGGATATGAATTCTCAAGCTGCATGGATTTTAGTTCCTTAGCAACAACTTCATACATCATTTGCATTGTCTGACCCTGCAAAAGCAAAGAAGCAAAAAGTCAAAACTACTTTCAAATCAAGTTTTATACTCATGTTTGATTTCTATACAAGTTCCTGATAAATTCTTCATGTAAAAATATATCAAAGACACACACACACCAACCATATTTAAGGTTTAAAATGAACCATATCGGTATCATACTATCATCATTCTGAAAATGCAAATATAATTGTTTTTCTTTCATTTTTTGATGGATAGTGTGAAGGTCTCAGTTAATACATAACCTTTCAACAAAAAAAGTGAAAATCTCAAGCTGACAAGTAAAATGCAGATTTGAGTCTTGAGCAGCTACTTTGTGCCACAAAAGCCAAATATTAGGCCCATATCCATTTCACCCCTCCCAAGACCCTAGATAGCTAGGATCGAATTTGGGTAATGGTACTTTTTAATGTGAAAACTTCATTAAACCAAAAATAATACGGGAAAAGTATAACTATAAATGGCCGATGGAAACATACCCCAAGAAGACAGACAAGTTCACAACAAAACAAACTAGTGTTAACTGTAGTATCCTAACATAACTCAGACCTATTTACACCATTCCTTGCTAGGTTTTTTGGTAAAGAATTGGCCAATCTTGATGACATGGCATACAAGGAGGATGATATTCATTGTTATTTATGAGTTATTCAAACTTAAACCGAAAATCAAAAGAGGCCTCTTCAAGTCCATCACTCTACTTGTGGCTTAAATAATTTCGCTTCGTTTTGGTATTGTTATTCGATTACCTATGTAGTAAGATCAAGATTAGGCAATTTGGAGGTCAAGTCAGTGAATTAGGGCCAATTTAAGGATAATTCAAGATTTTGTATTGTTTTTTGGTTATGTTGAGTTTTCTGAATTAGAATTTTATTATTTTTATTGTTTTGGTAGGTATTGGTTTTAGAAACAAACTTGTAATGTATCAAAATATAAACGTCAGAAGGTTGTTTAGGAGTTCTAGTAGATTCTAAGACATTCCAGCTATAGGTAGTGCTGGAAAGTACTTAAGAGCCATTAGATTAGGGATAAGCCTATATGAGGTCCACAATGTTGCTAAAAGGATTTATTCAAGAACTCCAATGTGAATGAAATTTGGTCATCAACATTAAACACCTGGTATAATTTTGTAAACAAGTAAAGTTGTGGATTGAATCATTTAATAGTTGACAAATCACATTACCTGCCAATAGAGAATTTCTTGCACAGATGCATCAGTAGGGAAACCCTCAGGCCACATTGGTATTACAATATACACTGCAAATCTCTCCTTAACTCTTATTTTGCTAGCAATTTTCAGTGCCAACTCCATTGGTATTAGATTATCAGCACCTGATAAGACCAAGAACACTAAACTTGAGAAATTTAAAATGCCAACTCCATGGGTGATTTCTGTTGGTCATTCATAAGTTAAGCTTTTATGGGCAGGCATCTTATTTTGAACTCTTGTATTCAGTTCCAGCCCTTGGATTGGAGCCTCACCAAACAAAGCAAGGGAAAAAAACCCTAGATTGCAACATAAGCAACCTTAAAATGAAAATACAAAATCCAAGAAAACTGAAATATCTTTGAGAAAGGAATCTTTTTTGGTGCCCAAGCCCATGCAAGCATGTCCAACACCATTCTCCCTCAAAGAATTGGGTCTGCTTGAGTGGGTTTACTTGTAGCTCATGCTAAAAGAATCATAAGCTTATATCTGGAGCATAAACCTTTAGTCCTTTTGATTGGATAGCATTGCAATATTTGCTGAACCAATCAAGCTATATAATTTAACAAGAAAACGAACAAAGATTGTAAGCACGGATTGGGACATAAGATGCACCATTACAATATAAGTTCAGTGGAAGAGAGTCTCTCCTGTAAGTGATGATACTTCAAAGTATATGAACTGTGTAATCCATATAGAAGAAGTTTCTACGAACCTGCATTTTTGTAAGATGGCCATCCATATGATGATCCAAGAAAATATTGATTTTCAATATATATAAAGTGCTGGGCAGATCTGATTGCTTGGACATATCCTGTTTGAATGCTCTTATCTATCACCAAGTTTTTCTCACAGATAAGTTTCTGCAATAGAATGTTACAAATTACACTTCACCCAAATTTCCTTTTCGCAATGAAAATTGAATAAAGAACAGGTTTCAATGTAAAATCTTAGTCAATTACTTTGAAAACCCACCATAACCCTATTCAATAATCAATATATAAATTGTGTTCAAAAGGAAAATAATGGTTTAATAGATATACCTGGTCATGAGCTAATTGAACATCTTTGGTAGGAAACCCTTTTACCGATCCAGAGTCAATAGATCGAAAAACCTGCCAAAGAAGAGAAAGTCAACCAAGGCTCGTAAATGCAAACCAATGAAATTAAATAAAGTAGTGTCACTATAGCAAGGAATTTGCACCATCCAAATCCAACCTGAACATGCCAGTTTTCAGCATCACCTTCCTTAGAAACCCACAAGATAGGATCATCGTTTGCAATATATGGGGATGGGCTAAGTATCCACGAAATTCTTTCCAATTTTATCAAAGCATCATCATCCCAACGAGAAACCCTTTTGAAACGTTTTCCAAATTCTGTCCATTTTGTTGCTTTCCTCCAGCGCTGCTCAAAGTTTTTAAGCACATCATATGCAGCAGGGCCTTCAATTTTGCAGTGCAAATCATGCCATGGTTGCCTTGGACCCTTAGTTTCTGCCTATTATTGAGACAGCCAAAAGACAAATGATCCAGATGACAAAAACTATTGGAATGAGATTATCATCAAATATTAAACTGTATAAACCAAGAAGTTCAAGACCAACTGTCCGCATACACTATAATGGTAAATATAAAGTTCTAGATGGTGAATTGCACTTTCATAGAAAGGCATGGTATTTTAGTATTGATAAGATAATACACAATTCAAATCTTTTTTTCCTAGAAACACTATTAACAGGCGACTGGTATAATGTACCCCCAATGTTTTCAAACATGGAGGTGTGATGCAAGGTGTTCCACTATCTGGAGGTGTGAGGCATAGTTCAGAACGCAAGAAGTGTAAACCTCCAGAGCACAAGGAGGTTTTTCTTCTTTCCTTTTGGTGAAAACTGACTTGTATTAATAATGAGGATGCATAACCCAGAACCCAGCCCAGGCTCAGGCTATAGCCCTTAAGCCCAGCCTGTGGTCACCCCTACCCCTAAATAGGTTGGATGTCATATTTTCACTAAAGAATTATATAAGTTAAAGTTTTTTGTGTTAACAATGTATAATATCAGTCATTTTAATTCATTTTATTATAATATATAATATTCAATCATTTTAGTTTATTTTATTTATACTATTCAATATCTGACTGCGATCTGAATCCAATTAAAATCTGATATAAATCTAACAGGTGAAGTTCAACTAAATCTGAATATAAACGAATCAAATTTGGATCTACGTATGTCCTATTCAATCTGATCCATTTGCAGCGCTGGTTAAATGAAAGTCCAAAAATAGGAAAAATGAATTGATCTACTCACAGGAAATGTTGGGTTATGATAATCATCCCGAAACACAGTGTCAAGATCACTAAACAGTCGATGCTCAGGTGTGTCATAGCGACCAACACAAAGATCAAGACCTCCTATAAAAGCAGTTATCTTTCGGTTATTTCCAGATGCCTGTGTATCCACCAGAACACATTTCTGATGATGTGTAAAAAGGGTCCCAACAACCTGGATGCAGACATTACAAAGTAATTGCAGCAAAAAAAAACAAATATTATTAAGAAGAAAAGATCATAATGTGGATATAAAATAAACAAAAGAAAACTGAACCAAATAACATAAATGAATAATGTTAACATGCACAAAAAGTCTCACTAATCATTTAACTTGTAAATACATTTGTGGTTGTCCCTTACCACAAACAGACGATATACACTATTTAAACACTTATGCTGAAACAGCCCCACAAGATGCATTTTGAAAGTCCGGCATCAGTTAGAAGTTAGCTATTCTTTTTGATAGGTAAGGCAAGAATTTTTTACGACAAGAATTTGATCTCCACATAGAAAACCACAAGCTATGGCCACTAAAACTCACATACAAGATATACATCTAGAAACCAAGAGATGAGAAAATAATCTCATGCCATTTGGTACAAAAGTAAGAGAAGTTAATATCAGATAAATCCAGAAATACAGATGAGCATAAATATATCATGCAATGTAAACATTGAGTAGCCCTTTAAATCCAAAGTCTTGGGGGAATTATGGTCTATCATTTTTCTAGAGGTGTAACAGAACCTACAAGGATACTTGTACTTAGAGTAGGTCGGTTCCTCTCATGATTGAGGAATTCATGTGGCTGGTTTTACTTGATAAAGTCCTTGTTGTCAACAAATTGGACCATAGAGGGCTCCAAATTACTGTAGGGAACTTTGATTTAGATGTTAACTGCTCACTGATTTAGCCAGCAAGGAGAATTTTGCATTGAACTGAGAACCTCAATGTAAAGCTCCCGTGGAAAGTGATAGATTTAGAAGAGATAGCCCGATCCGTGATGCCAAGACAAAGCTAGGCAACAGGGGAGTGCCTTGTCGCCTAGGAACCTAAAATGGCTTTTTTAAAATAAAAAAGGTTAAATCCTAGGATAGTTCCCTAGGTTTCATAGCAACAAGCAATCATTTTTACTAATAATCACCAGTGATCTTAATCAGATAAACATAAACTTCATATCAAAATTATCAATAGGTTCCTACTCTTAAATTAACAGAATTGATAGAACAAACACTTTAGAACCAGTATTTATTACTTCTGCTGTGGCAGTGGACACAACTACCATAGTAAAATGGTCAGAAAAGATTTTCCAAGTTCCAACAAATTAATACAACTGAACAAATGGTGTAATGCCTGCCTGTTGCTTGACAATGCTAAGCTTACTGCTGGCATAACGAGGGGCCAGCACACAAATAACAGATGAATGCTTGAAAAATTTCCTAGTTTCTTCATCATGAGTTTCCATAACTCCAGCCTGCAACCAATGCCAAGCCAATATTAATATTAGGAATATGAAATAGCACCTAGTTTTAGAGAAAAATAACAATAATATTTGGTCACAATAAACTATATTATATCTGAACAACAACAGCACCAGAATTGCAAAAATAACATATAAGGGCAACATCCATGGAGAAGTTGCCAATTTGATGTAGTTGAATGACAGGGAATAAGTAGGTAAAAGAATAATAAATAATATAATAATATAATCCATGTATACTGAGTGGCTAGCCATGAGTAATCATAATTCATAGGCTCAGATAAAAATAGTTACACTCAACCAAATGCAAGGGTTTCTGAATTCAGTGTTGTGTTGAATTCATGTTTACACGGAAAGAAATTGTATGAGAAGTAACTGGAGAAAAAAACCAACTTAAAAAATAATTCCTTTTTTCAAACATGAAAGTGCCTACTAACTACTGGGTATAATCTTTTTTTCCCTCTTCTTTGTTAGACAGTGTATGCCCTTAGCTCTAATCAGCATAATGTACATTATGACATTTATTGTAAATGAATAAAATACATATTCGATTCATGTTATTGTGGTGTGTTTTTGTGTAATACCCTTAAACTGGACACATATGAGACTCGTGTTAGTTTAGAACCTTCATAGCCGTTGGATAGATTTTGGGAGATTTGTCCTGCCAAAGTTGACACTGATGTACCGCCAAGTTGGTTGGGGTGGCTTGTCTTAACTGCCAGGGTGAGACCTGAGGTGCATGCAGTGTGGGTTTTCTTGAAACCCTGAACCAGACCAAATTCTAGTATTGCCCTGGACCTTGGAGACAGATGGGCAAAACTAGAATGTAACACCTGACCTCTAGGCTCGATTATGATACTGTACTAGGTGTCGGATTGAGCTATCTTTGATATGCCAATCAATGAAATCCTTAGAGGGGGTCAAAACCTGGGTATGTTGGGATAGTTCGAGAATTCACCTGAGTGGGTGATCATGGTGACATAATCACCCCCTTTGTCGGACAAAGTGAATGATCGGGGAAATGCACTTTCTCTGAAAGAAACCTAAACTGTCGGCAGTGGATTTCAAATGTGTTTGAAATTTGGTTTTGCAAAATATATTTATATAGAGATATACTTATATATTATGGTTTCACAAATTGTTTGCAAAAGGTTTTAAATCCCGGGATCCATGTGAGTAGAGAGTGCAACACTATACCTTGCAACCGAGGGAGAGGTCCTCTCTTGTCGGATAGTGTTTGATCATTAAGGGCTGAGAGGTTAAGTGTAAGACCATTGAGGGTTATACCTGATGGGCTAATCTTGCATCTGCCCMCAATCCTTGGGCCTTCATAAGATGGCTGGACTCAGTGGCTATTTAGTGTAAATATTCGGCCCATTAAGAGCCCATAGTGATGGACTCAGGGGTTCACTGTATTCAACGGTGAATCCAGCCAGGCCTTGTAACAAAGGCTAGGCTGAACCCATGTGGTTGATGTGTAGATCAATGTTAGGGTCCCATGCCATACAAAGAGAGCCAAGCTAGCCAGCATTAAAAGGAAGTGAGCCTGAAAGATTAATGGGCCTAAAGCCCATTTTGAACTGGATTAATTGGGTTAATTAAATTGGGGTGGATCTGGGTTTGGATCAGCAGATAAGGATAAGATGATAACTCTTATCCATTTAAAGAGTCTAGATCCAAATAAAGATTTGGATCAGGGAATTCCTAATTTGATTAGGAATAAGTTGATCTTGAACTGCAAATAAGATAAGGGATTATCCTTATCACTTAAAGAGTTCAGATCCAAATAAAGATTTGGATCAAGAGACTCCTAATCAGATTAGGAGGTTGTCTCTTTATGGCTATAAATAGAGAGCAGGGCAGATCTGAAAAAGACACACAGACATTACAGAATACAACTCAGTTTGACTAATTTTGCCTTCAGTTTTTTTTCTCCCTACTCTTGTCGCTCTACCCTGTTCGATCTCCAATTCTTGGAACTGACCAAGATTTGATCTTGATATTGTTTCTTATTAGAAAAAAGAATTCTGAAGCTGTGCTCACTACCCCATTCGGTTCTTGTTGAAGAATCAAAAGGTTCTTGGTGAAGAACTACCTGTTGATCCTGCCTCATCCTAAATTGTGTCATCTTCAGTGGAGGGAGGATTTGGTACACTCTTTGGGCGTGAACACCTGCGTTGGGAGGAGCTTTTTGCGTGGATTCCGTATCAAATATATCCCTCCCTAATCTTGATTTCAGATTTGGTCCGGTTTGGTTACAAGAACGAACCTTGAAAACGCAGTTTTCTAAATTAGGAATAGAATTCCCGGATGGGAGTAAAGAAATTTTTGAAATTTTGCCCAACCTTATAGGATTCGGCCATCCATATGATGGACCTTCCATCCCTTTATTCTTTTCATTTGTTTGGAGGGTCAAGGTGGCTGTTTAGATTTAGGATTGAGTCATCCCTTCAGCCAAACCTTCAGTATTCTAATGATTGACTGCTGGCCATTGATACATTGTCCATCAAGAAAAATAACTTTCAAACTATAATTTGCAACATAATTAGGTTAAATTTGACAAACAAAATGACAAGACATTGTATCTATTACATTACAGCTTCATTGCACATGTATATCAGAAGATGACAGGCAACAACGAATTTGTTTGTAGCAGACCTTTACAGTTTATAAGTGTAATGAAAGGCAGTAACCTTGTCACCTAGGCACTCCATGGTTGCCAGCTAATGCGCTGCCCATGTGCCTGCCTGAGTCTACTGCAGAAAGTCAAAGCAGATTAAGCTAGGTACATAGAGCCAAAGTTTCCTAGTATATGAATCCCCCTATAATTATCTGAAACACCCGTCCACTTTTCTAATTTTCTCTTAACCTTACCCGACATTTTTGATACCTCCAGATATCCTGTCAGACATTTTCCATTAAAAAACTAATGGTATTTGCAAGATTATAGTGATGGTTGAGAGACGAATGAAAATTCCAAAAAAAAGGCCCACCCATTCACTAAAATCCAACTGTTGTTGGTTGAGAGATGAATGAACATAAAATAGGCAATAAAATAGGGAAGAGAAATGAACTAACATTAACTTTATCATACCAAAATAAGTTAATAGAGTAGATTAGTTGGTCAAGGTTTGTTTTGTCATTGAAAAATAGAATGGCACATGTGGACCACATGATCACTGAGTTGACTGATCGAAGGTATGCATGTCATTAAATAAAAAGTTAGGATAAATTTAAGAGAATGCTAGAAAAGTGAAGGGAATTTTCAGATAATAAGCCCAACTTCAATTGTAAACAAGAAAGCTTTATTGACCGTACCAAGATTTACATAGCCAAACATAACTTTGCGTCTAAATACCCTCCAAACTCCACGGCCAAGTAAAAATAGTAATAAAGTTTCTTTCTGATTAAATGCCCATATAGAAGGCGAAAAAAGTCAGAAGCGAGAGACAGATTTAGGCTGTGTTTGGGAGTACTTTTTGGCCTAGACAAGTGTTTTTTTTTTAAAGCGCTTTTCTAGTCTTTGTCTGATCGCCGGTTTTTCTGTTCAAAATAACTTCTTGCAAATTTGAAAAGTTAAATGAGTTTTTTTTTCCTGCTTTTTTCTACGCGCTTTTTTAATTAATAGCCGTTTAGTGCCTTCTTTTATTGGCGTTTGGTTTCCAGAAGCACAAACAAGCTATTCGGAGAATCACTCCCAACCAATACCACTCAGAACTAAGGGCATATCTGATATCTATCTCGGTGCTAAGACAAGAACAGTCAGTCACCGGCATGACACAATACCAGATCCAAATTTCTCCTTAATTCTAGCTTCAATTTTCCACCGAAGCAGCAAATGGATCCAAACTAAATTTTGTAATATTAATTATAAAGATTAACAGTGATGATGGAATGAGAAAAAGAAACGATAAATTTTCTACTGAGCAATTTATGGAGAAAAGAAGAGCAGGGCAGAGACCAGAATTGGATGGAAGTCTACCAGAAAATCTGCAACCACTGGTGATAGTAAAATTTCTTACCGTATTGATGAGGATATTACTGTGAGAAGTCTTATCATCCCAAAGCAGAAGCAGCACCCGTACCCCTTCTTGCGACTTGTACTTAAGCAGCTCACCCAGAGTCAGATCCCCACCGCTCGGCAACGGCCGGGTGGACTCTCTGACCAGCTTCACCTTATGGTAAACAGACCAACCTACGATATAGACCAAGTGATGAGCTTCCAATATCGCATGACAAATATCTCCCCAGCATTTGTTGTGACGGAAGACTTCTCCGTTCTCCAATTTAATCTCGGGAAGCATCCCGTCGGGAACATGTGCGTCCTGGTAAAGCGTCACAGATCCTCCTTTCCTGACAGGAAAGTAAGTGTCTCGAACACCCAAATGTTTCGGGTCCGCTGCAATGCCGTGGCGATACAAAGGATTACTCTCTATGGGGGTAAATTTCATCTCGAGGTTGAGAGCCGAATTGGGCTTCGGCGGCTTCCCGGACGGTCCAATCACCGAAAACCATTCACTAATGAGCTCTCCGGACTTGATCCTCTGAGCAGGAATGGAAACAACTCCGATAACCTGAGCACCAAACATATCGTTATCCTTGACATGGAACTCGACATGAGCAGCGGGATGGGCGAGGGGGATGTTAAACTCTTCGTTCCACTGAGGGTTTTCAGAATTTGGAATAACTCGGGTACGGGCGACCGTAGCTCCGGAGAGAGAAACAGTAACATAAGAATCGCTTGTGATCATTTTCCGGTGTTCCTGGTCCCGGGGCTGCTTAGGGGCAGCCGGATGTAGGCAGGTGCCGCAAACGGTAAAGCAACGACGGCAACGCTCGAAGAGTAAATCCATGTTTGGTAAGCTTCGAGCTCCGAGAATCTTCAAATCAAGGTCTCCGTGAAGGTAAATGATTTGGTCCGAAGGATTGTTGTTGGCCATTGAAGCTGGGACTTGAAGGTTCCCGTCAGAATTGGAAGCCATGAGAGCTGTGGAAGAGCTAAGGTACGTCACAGACAATCAAGATTCAAAGGAGAGCACCGAACAGCATGTTACAGGAATAAAAAGCAGGTTGCAGGAATAAAAGAATGTTAAATTCAACTTCTCCTAAGTTCACACTCGGGCAGCAGGGATACTCAACCGTTCCAACACATTCCAACATCGATCTGCGTCCGCACACCTCACAGGTCCCAATATTATGTCACGGTGAGATATGCTGATACGGATAATGTTAGAAGTAACGATGGGCGGGGCCCGGGGCGGGTTTTGTCTATGTTTTAAATTCGAGTCCAGCCCTCACATAAAGTTCCAGGGCACGAGTCCAAACCTGATTAGAAATTTGAAAATATATATTAAAATATTTTAAATTTAAAAATAATAAAAGATCTCATTATTATTTAAAAAAAAAAGAAGAGAAAAAATATCGTATATATATATATTTATTTATTTATTAAATAAAATATATTTTTTATTATTTAATATATATTATTAAGTCAGGTTCAAACGCGAGTCAAGCTCTTTTGAGAAAATCCAAGTTCAGCATGAAAAAAGGTCGGGCTCATGGTTTAGGGCTGAGCTTGAACCCGCGGGCCTAAAATTATGTCCAAGCCCAACCCATGAATAGGTCTAGTTGGAAGTGTCTTGGAACTGAGAGAATGGCAATTCTTTCTTGAGATTTTTTTGAGATCACATCTACGCCCCACATGCACATCAGTGTGCATTGGGAACATCTCCTAAAGTTGTCAATGGGAAGTGTTTCCAATATATGGTTGGGATATGCTATGGGGCACCCTCTATGGGGCGCAGATGTAAATTTGATTTGTTTTCATTAGTAGTAAGTGTGCACGTGATTTGTATGTGGCAATTTTTACAACAACAACAACAACAATAATAATAATAGTAATAATAATAATAATAATAATAATAATAATAATTTGTATGTTTCTAAAATTCTTACATTTTTTTATATTTATAGATCTATAAAAATTAGGGTCCATTTGGTTCGCAATCGGAATCGAAATGGTCTATTCTCATAGTTTGTTTGGTTCTGACATGAAGAGGAATGGGAATTGAAATCATCATGAATGAGATTTCATTCCAAAGAGAGGGGCAATGAATGACCATTCCCTCAAATGGGAGAATGCCATTCTAGCAGTAATGGGAATGGGATTTTGATTCCACCCAACCAAATAGTTGGAATTGGAATATCCCATTCCGATTCTGATTCTAGACCCCTATTCCTATGAACCAAATGAGGCCTTATTCTTATTTGGTATACTTGTTTTTGTTTAATATGATGGATATATGATATTAGAGATATGTCAAGTGTTTACTTCAAAATTTATTGTATTTTTATATTTATTATTATTATTATTATTTAATTACGACATCAAGGGTTGACACATTATTTAATTATTGACTCGCTACCAAACAAGAAAAACTCAATTTTTTTATTGGTTTTAAAATTTGTATTTTATTTTTATCATCAATAAAATAATTATTTTTTGTCACTTTTTTTTCTTTACTATAGTTAATTAATATAAAATATTAGAGATATGCCCAAATGTTTTATACATAATTTATATATTATATCTTTTTATTTTTCAAAACTTTATTATTTAATTATGACTTCACACATTGATACATTTGAACTGAAAGGTTGAATTGTTGATCTACTTCCAAATAGGAAAACAATTTCACTTCTATAGGTTAGTTTTAAATTCTGAATTTTATTTTTATTATCAATAAAATGTTCAAAATAATTATTGTTTATTGTGTTTAATTTTTTATGATATATATAAAATATTAGAAATGTGTCCAAATGTTTTTTATAAAGTTTCTATATTATTTCATATTTTTGTCTTTTGTCTATTTTTTTATTATTTAATTATGAGATCAAGGGTTGATGCATATGAACCAAAAGGTTAAGTTGTTGACCTGCCTCCAGGAAAGCAAATTCGTTATAAGGTTGGTTTTAAATGTTATATTTTATTTCTAACATTAATAAAAACGACCATTATTTATTAACTTATTACCACGATTAATATAAAATAATAGATAAGTGCCTAGATGTTTTCACAATTTTTAATCAATAAATGCTTCCTTTACTTTTTTTTTTGTATTACTACATAATGCTTTTGTGTTTTTTATCTTTCTTATTTATTTATGATTTCAAGGGTTGAAATTTTGGCTCAAAATGTTAAAATTGTTGACCCACCACCACGAAAAAATATATTTTTGGATTGGTTTTAAATTTATATTTCATTCAAATATTAATAAGAATATATTTATTTTTATTTAATATGATTAATACAAAACATTAGAGATGTGCCCAATTTTCTATATTTTTTATTTATTTGTATTTTAAAAGTTTTTTATTTAATTATAACATAATGGATTGACCCATTTGACCTAAATGGTTGAATTACTTACTCACCACTAGGATGGAAGAACGAATCCATGTTTTGTTCAATTTTAAAAAGCATATATTTTATATCATTAAACTTATTGATATTGATTTAATTAATAAAATTTATTGGTAAAATGAATAGTTTAAATATAGAATCCAATGAGAGAATGGGAATAATACCCTAAATATAAATCTAATGCATTAATTTTTTAAAATACCCATTTTATCCTTATATCTATCGTATTGAGATTTACTAAAATACTTTCAAAAAAATTTTAACTTTTAATTAAAAAATTCTATAAGTCAGATTAAAAAGAGTAAAATAATTTTATTTTATAAATCCAATCTGATCGATTAAATTCTAAAAAGGCAAATCTGGCATTTTGATTATATTGAAAGATGTCCTAATAAATAATTAAGGTAATTTTATAATTTCAAAATCTTTATTATTAAGATAATAATGTTTTTTTAATAATGAATAGAAATTATAATAAAAGGGGGTAAATGTATATTTTTCCAAAACTACAGGAGAGGTTTTTATTAAAATGAAACTTTAAGAACGTTGTTTTATATTTTACCCTTTATAATATAAACAAAATATTATTTATTTAATTTATTTTGCAAAAATAACTTTTATTTAATTAGTTTGTTACTTTGTATATCAATTAGCAAGAAGACGACGAAAGAGAAGGTGAAGAAAGAAAACAAGGGAAAGACGAGAGGAGAAGTCGCAGCCGGAAACGTCGCAATCAACTCAACGACGGAGAAGTCAGATCCCATCAAACAAAACAAGCAAACAAAATGCTCAGTGATGAATGATTAAGGGGCTTTTTTGTCTGATAAAATCGCTCTCTCTCGAGGGGCCCACGAATTTATTACGGCGTGGAACTTTATTATTGGTTCCACAGTCAGTGGAACAACTCAATCGATTATACGTTCACCTGATCCGAATTCTAATTAGTCGGGGTAAAATACTGCACATTCGGATCTGGATATCTTGCACTTTATTCTGCATTTTAAAGACTGTTTGATTTGAAAGAAAGGTAGGGAAAAGATGGAAAAGGTAGTAGGGGTGCATCTTGAGTGGGATCAGCCCAAAATTATATTGGGGTTGGGTTTGGGCTTAAGAAGTCAAGCTTTTTTATTTTTAGGTCGGATTCGGGTTTAGTTTTTAGATAGCTTGAACCTTAGTTATATATACACATATATATATATATATATATATATATATATATATTTAAATACACATATTTGGTATAAATATATACCTGAACCCAGCACAGGCCCAAGCCTAATCTAAATGTATCAAATTACGGTGTGGGTTGAGAAGATCAAATTTGATGTCAGGGTCAGGTCTTAAGCCAAAATTTTAGGGCTGGGCCTGGATTGACCATAAACCTGGCCCTACCCACATGACTTGCACCCCTAAATGCTAGGCAACACGGTTACATATACAGCCTGAATTCTAAATATTCGCATAGATTGTAAAAATATGATAAAAAGAAATTATATGCATTATATTTTAACTATAAAAAATAGTGAAAAATCGATTAAGCATCATTAGCTATAAATGAAGGTGTATATATAATACACATTTTAGAAATGAAAAGGAAAAAAAAAACTATGTTTTAGAATATATTTGAAATTTATTAAAAATATTTATAATTATACTTATATACTATAATGTGTACTTAGAAATGAGACACCTAACATTTTGATCTTGTGATCCTTGGACTACATTTAAAGTTTAAAAGTTTTGAAATCAATTATTTAAAATTTGAAGAATAAATATTATTTAATATCAAATTAGAATTAGATATTTAAGATATGCAATTTCTTGTATTTCTTAAATTGATAATCCTGAGGTACAATTAGGCCTAAAAATTGATTTAAACCACACTTTTTTCCATACGAGTAGAGAAATGGCACTTACCATAGGTCACATCCACATTAGAGGTGTAAATTGGGTCGTGCCACCCATGGCCCGGCACGAACTTGGACCGGCCTGGCATGGCCCGACACGACGGTCTGCAGGTCGTGCTAGGCCTGACATGACCATGCGGCCATGCTGGGCCTAGGATTTTACGTCCATGGGCCGGCACGGCACGACCAGCACGGCCCACATATATATTTTATATAAATAATTTATAGTATATAATATATTAATAAAATAAATATTTTATTAATGTATTTAATTATTGCATATATAAGCAATTTTATACACAAAATTCATATAAAATTAAAATTTTAATTTTTTTGTCAACTTTTTTAAATAAATAGCTTTGGCCCAATGCACTGCCCGACCTGGCCCAAGGTTCGGCCCACGAGCCAACCCGACCTGCAACACGGCACGACATGGCATGGGCCCACACAGACCCAAGCCGTGGGTCGTGTCGGGCCAACCCCCGAATTTTTCACTAGGGAGAGTGGCATGGCCCGTGATGGCTCGCCGGCCAGCATGGCATGGCCCGCAAAAAGTGCGGGCTGCCCACGAGCTGTGCCGTGCCGGCCCAACATAGCCCACTTTACACCTCTAGTCCACATTATATAATTTTAGGGTTGCAATAGAAAAGGTTGTATGGTCCCCAAACCATATCATGTTGCCGGACAAACATGACACCGTAAAGGTTTTGATCAATTAATCCCCACTCCTTGAATTTTGATCGATCCCATTGGTTATAAGTTTTTCTGA